CCACCTTTCTGCTACAGTTAATTTGCCTTGATTCTAACGAGAACGTATTTAGTAAGATTTTAGCTCTTTAAAATGTATTGAACTGGTTTTTGTATTGGCATATAACCTGGCCTAAAGGATGTTTTCATTGGAAAAACAGATTTTCTTGTGTAAATCTGCCTTTTCAATGAAAATGGATGAGACACAGAGAAAGATCTTCTGTCTGCTGGTTTACTTCTCAAGTGGCCACAGTGGCCAGAGCTGAGATGATCTGGAGCCAGGAGCCACGAGCTTCTTCTGGGTCTCCCGTGTGGGTACAAGGTCCCAAAGCTTTTGGGCTGTCCTCTACTGCTTTTCCAGGCCACAAGCAGGGAGCTGGATGGGAATTGGAGCAGCTGGGACACAAACTGGCCTCCACATGGGATCCTGGCACTTGCAGGGTGAGAACTTAGCCACTGAACCATTGTGCTGGGTCCTAAAAAAAATCTTGTTTATATGTTAATTGGCCTGGTTCTATTTTTTTTGAAAGTGAGATGTTGATAGTTTCATTATTGTTTCCCCATTCATTCGGTCAGTTTGACTTTATGCATTTTGGGGATTGTGGGAGATGTTTAATTTTCATATCTCCTGATTGCTTAATCGTTTTCATTGTGAAGTGATCCTACTTGAGCTCTACTACATTTATATATTTCTAATATGAATTTTAGTGTAGCTATTTGAAAGTTACATTGTAGTTCATATTTGTGTGTTATGTCTCTTTGCAACCTATCTACCTCTTTCTGAATTCTGTCTCCTTATGAACACCAGCTTGTAGTTGGAGTTTGATTCCTTTCTGCCCGTTTTGGGGGTATTTTTGTTAAGTGTTGCCTTTCAATATGTTGTACCCATGTGAGCCGATCCAGAGGAGTGACATGCGCTGGTCAGATATGGAAGTCCTTTACTGCTGGCTGTTGGAGAGTGGCTCAGGCCCCAAAATCTCTGCACCCTTAAGTTCAGGGTAGCAGGGTCCGTAGAGGCAAAATCCACTAGTGGGAAGGGACCCCGGGGACTGAGTAAAAGTACTGAGCTGACGCAGAACTGCTTGTGTTGTTGTAGCAGGTGAAACACATTTTTCTCCTAGTCATGCCAGAACATCGTGTCAGGGTTCGAGCATCCTCAGCAGGCAAGATGTGGTGGTCTCAGCCGGGTCAGTGTCCTGGAGTAGAGCTGGACATGGAGACTTTCATGTCATGCCTGTTGTCTCTTTATTAACATTATGCCTGTTTAATGCCACTTTTGGCAAAATCTTTTGAAAACAGATAATATAATGAAAAATATACATTTATATGGTATTTTTACATTTGCTTATTACTTTCCTGGCACACTTTATCTTTTCATGTAGAGCAGAATGGTCCATCTCGGGTTCATTTCTTTGAGATTGAGGAACATTTATTAAATTTGCTGGTGAAGAATTCTGTTTTGTTGGAAATTTAGTTTTTACTTTTTTAAAATTTGGGTTTTATTTAAAAATACAAATTTTCTAATTTTTTTTCTGGGTATAAAATCTTTGGGTCTTTAAAAAAGCATCTAGCAGTGACTGTGCGCTCATCGCATCCTGGATTTCATTACTTCCGGGGAGCTGTCCCGGGCTCGTCTTATCAGAATTCCCTTGCTAATATTCTCAAGATTTCTTCGGTTGTTTTTGGCTTCCACAACTTCTAATATAATGTGTCCGGGTGTGGATTTTGTTGTGTTTGTTCTCTTTAGAATTTTTTGAGTTTCTTGAGTTGGTGGGCTAATATTTTTTCTCCCCTAACTTTGCAAAATTTTCAGTCATAATCTATGTTATGATTTTTTTTTTCTTGCTCCTTTCCTTTGGGTACCACCAATGCAAAATTGTCGCTATGCTTAAGGGTGTCCTGCATCTTCTTATACTGTATTGGTTCCCTCTCCCCCTGCCCATTTCTCTCTGTAGCTTGGATTGTATTATTGCTGTGGATCTCATTTTCAGTTGATTAGTATTTCTTCTGTTCCATCCTATTTCTGAGTTCCTTTGGCAAGTTGTTCATTTTACTTATCATGCTTTTTCAACTCTAGAATTTCTGTTTTACAGTTACCTTCTTAATGTTGGTAATATGAAACTCCCTCCCCATGCATAGACATCTTTTGGTTGTCTGTCTTAAATTTTTTTTTATCTCTGAAAATTGCCTGTTTGGATAGTACATTTTGTCAAGTTCTGGATACTCATTTTTTTTTTCTCCTACCTTTGCAGGATTGGTTATTGTGGTTGCTCATTTATTTGTCTGTGACGAGCTGATCTCTTTTTGTGGAGTGCTTTATCCCGCGCCCAGTCAAGATTGTGATGCCATTTGCAGAGGGTGGAGAGCCGGCTAGGATGGCCTTAGTCTTAGCAGGGCTCTCAGTGTCATTCCCTCATGTCTCTGGTATAGCCTAGGCCTCTGCTGATACCACACCTGGTTGTTAACTTGCCCTCATTGCCTGCTACTTGTTCAACTTTATTTTAAAGAGTTTTTTTTTTATTTGAGAGGAAGAGTTACAGAGGGAGAAACAGGATTTTCCATCTGCTGGTTCACTCCCCAGGTGGCCACAATGGCTGGAGTGGAGCTGATCCAAAGCCAGGAGCCTCTTCCAGATCTCCCGTCTAGATGCAGGGGTCCAGGGATTTGAGCCATTTTCTACTGTTTTCCCAGGCCGTAAAAAGGGAGCTGGATGAAAAGTGGAACAAGCCAGGACTAGGACCGGTGCTCCTATGGGATGGATGCTGGTGCTGTAGGTGAAGGATTAGCCTTTTGAGACACTGCACTTGGCCCCAGCAGATTCCTGTTAATTGTTTACATTCATTCTCTCCTCTCTTTCTCAGTGGGAGAAAGGGACACACTTGGGCTTGAACTTTGTCCTGCCTGGTTTCACATGCACCGGCTTCCTTTGGCACAGCTTCCCAGCTGTTACAAGTCTTTCGAGCTGTGGGCGCTCCTGGAGCACTGCTCACGCTCTGGTTGGTTGGGGCTGGCAAGGACTACCTCAAGGCCCCGCTCTTCCTTTTGCCTTTTGTCTTGTGGCATGGAGACCCTTGCTCTAATAGGCGAATCAAAGGTCCTGTGCTTCTGGTCTGCTGCCCTGAGGGCACGCGCTGCTATGGTGAAAGCTATTTGAAAGAGAGACTTGGCTTCAAGATCACACTCACCTGCATTTGAGCCTCTGTGTTGTGGTGCGGAGGCAGATAAGGATAGGCTGGCACTTGGCCCCTCTCCCCTGCTGTGTGGGGGAGAGGAACCTCCTCCTGGTGCCCACACCCGCCCTGGGAAGGGCTCAGTCACTCTGAGCTGGGTGAGAGATGAAAGGAGAAACAGAGCATGACTCAAGGACCGCAGACACTTCCTGCTCTTCCCAAGATTTAGCAGATTTTCTTGAATAAATATTTCTTCACTTGCTGAATGCCCTTGGGGTAATAGTCAGAGACTTTAAATAGTTGTTTCCAAAATGTTTTCCAAGTTTCGCTGGGGAGTCTCTGGAGTTCTTCTTATAGTTGTCTTCGATATTTTTCATGTTCCCTTTTAAATATTTTTTTTCCCCTCAACATATGGCAAACAGTCCCAGTAGGACCTAAAAGAGGTTTCCATGGAGATTTAATATTTTCCTTGAAAAGCAGTATTCCGTGCACTTGGGTAGCCTACATCCCTTCTCAAGTGTTCGCTCCCTGATGTGAAGACCCTGATGTAAAACACTGACGGCTGAAGTCGCTTTGTCCCTGCCACCTGTCTGGCAGACCTGGATTGAGGGCTGGACTCGTGATTTTGGGCCTGACCTGATCCCAGCTGTGGCAAGCATACAGGGAGCGAAGCAGTGCATGGGAGTCCTGTCTGTTTCTGTTTCTACCATTTCAATGAAATGAAAACATGAAAAAGAGAAGCAGTGCACAAGTTCATGTGTACACAGGCCTTTCTCTCCTTGTAAGCCCTGCTGATAGAAGGTGGACGTGCTCACCTCCTGCCGTCCTGGGATCCTGCTTGCATGTGGACAGCCCTCCTCCTGGACCACCCCAGGCTGTCTCCTCCTTTCGGCTTTCATGTCTAGGCTCCCAGTTTCCACTCGAGGCACTGGAAGTGGTGACACAACTTGTCAACCGTCTCCTTGGCTGGTACATCACTCTTTGATTTCCAGCCAGTCCGTTGGCTTTTGTAAACTCGATTATGGGTTGTCTCTCTAGCTCTGATAGATGTTGCTCCCCTCAAGACCACACTTGTTCTACTTGTGTTATTTTTACAGGCTGAAAAATCTGGCTCCATTGTGTGGGGAAAGGACTGGTTAGGCTCAGTATGACAAAGTTGGTTAGCTGCCTACCGTAGAACCATCTTCTAAGGTGACCTCATCCAGGTAGTTTTTGTGTGGTGACCTTCAAGGCTGCATTGTCGTGGGAATGTGTGGAAGACAATGGGAAGCAGCAGCAAACAGGAGCATCTCTCTTATTATGGTTAGGGATGTTCATCAGTTATTCAGAAGTTTCTTCACAGTGGTTGAAATCAATGGATATTTTGTTTGAAAATAACTTTTTTTTAAAACAGGAATTCAAGCAAGATGTAACTTGTTATTTGAGAATCTCATTTTTGGAGTTTTGGGAGATTATTTAATTCTATAATCTGAGTGAATAATTTGGAAGGCACACTACAGAACACATTTTGAAATTTTAATTATTTCACATCTGGCTTTTTCATCATCCCTCCCCCCAACTATATCTTGATGTCCTTTTTTTCCTATTGGATCCCGCAGATCTGTGATGGAAAGGATTCGAAGCTACAATGAAAAAAAAAAACTAGCAATTTCTTCCTCTTAGAATGTGGAATGGTAATACGGTGACACTGATTTTTCTTTTTAACCTGGAATGCTGATGTGATTTGTAAGGTATACACACACAAGTCCACTGTTTAAACTCTGTTTTGGGAAGATGAGGAATTTCGAGTTGCACTTTGACCTGCTCTGAGGGATGCGATAATGGTACCATTTGCCTCTTTCCTGTTCTTCAGGCGGCAGGAGCCATGCGACCCCTGGTCTCCACCGTCATCCGTGCCTCCGCGGATGGGTGCCTGGACCACTCGCTGGAGCGCGCTGCACACCGAGCCAGTGAGATGCCGCAGGCGTTTCGGTTTGATGTGATCTACAAAGCCTACCAGCAGGTAAGAGCAGTGGCTGCTTAGGGAAGCCCTTCTTCGGTCAGATCTCGGTTCTCAGACCAGTGCTCTGCATGGAGAACTTGCAGAGCACAGTAGATTCATTATTGTAGTTGTATTAAGGGGTAAGGGTTCTTGCAGTAAAGTTGGAAGTTCATCCAGTTTATCTAAAAGCAGAGAGAGGAAGAGAAAGAGAGGGAGGAGGAGAGACTGGAATGATCTGTCTTCCTTTCTGCTGGCTCATTCCCCAAATAATGGCCACAGCAATTGAGATTGGACTAGACTGAGGTCAGGAGCCTGGAATTCCATCTTGTTACCACATAAACGGTAGGAGACCAGGTACCTGGCCATCCTCTGTTGCTTTATCACGCGTGTTAGCAGGGAACTGGAAGGGAAATAGATGATTTGGGATGCTGGTGTTGCTGGCGATGGTTCAACCCCAGTGCACCACGACACCGGCCCCTTGCTCCAGCCCTCTTCATGTGCTCCTCCTTCCCGAAGTGTTTTGGAAAACCACATCTCCCTCCAGCAGTGAGATGACTGCAAATGCCTGCAGTGTTTCTGCCCAGTGAAAACTGTAAGGGTCCTGGTGCCCAAGGTATCCCTCAGGATTGGACACACAACCAGTCTGACTATCACAGAGCTTTCGGGTGCTCAGAAGGCAAGCAGGTGTCCAGTAGAAATCCTGGTGTTTCTGTAGATGGTTTAACAGGCACAGCAAGCCTGCTTTCTCATTGAAGCCCTGGTGTTGGCCGAAGGGCCTAAGTTGCAGGCAGGTCTGTTCAATGTTGGCAGCCTTCTTCCCACTGAGACACTTGCTAATTAGAATTTGAGCTAAAGGTAAGTACTTAAAAAAAAATTGAAGTTTCAATTAATACAGGCTATTGGATTATCTTTGCATTTGTGTGTGTGTTGTAGAAACACTTTTGCCTTATAGAAGCTTACTACCGTTTATATGAGGAATCGGTACTTGATGTTTGGTATTGAATCTTCCCAGTGACATAGAACTTAGAGAATAATTTGGTTCTTGCCTGATATTAGAGAATCGATAACAAGTTTGAAGTCGATGACCTTAAAGGAGGGTGTGGTAATGGTATTGTGAATATTGTCATTCATACTAGAGGGACATAATGATGGATCTCCATAGAGGTTAGTTAAGCTCATACATGTGTTTGCTGGGATTGCTCATGCATTCGTTCAATAGCTAACTCCACCAGGTACTATTTTAAAGTCAGATCAGTTCTGCAGAATGGAAACTCATTTACTGATTAGAAAGGTCTGCAGAAGTTTGTATCTTGTTGAAATGATTTGAAGCACAAAAATTTAGCTTTAGTATATAGTCATTAATCATACATAAATTATGCCATTCAAACGGTCTTTGAGTTTTGAATCCTCATGTCTTAATTTATAGACAAAATCTTGCTGAACTAGACCACCATTAGCCGCATTTCTGAGTTTAATGTAGGAATTTGTTAGTTGTTTATAAGGATTGATTTTTGGGTTTTCTAGTCTGTCCTACTGGTTGACATGTCTGTTCTTGTGTCATACCTAGCTGTTTGGAGTATAAGAGCTCTGTAGTATGTTTGAGGCCATGTGTTGTGTGATGCCCCCAGCTATCTTTTTATTGGTTATGATTGTATTGGTCCCTTGGGGTCTTATGATTCAGTATGAGTTTTAGGGTTATTTTTTTTCTTTCTGAGACTAATATCTTTATTTTGATTCAGATCACAATAGCTCTCTAAATTTCTGCAGATAGTATGGACATCTTGATGATGCTAGTTCTAGCAATTCAAAAACATGGAAGATTTTTCATTTTGTTTTCCTGTAGCTTCTATTTCTTTGCTCAACCTTTTGTAATTTTCATTGCACACACAGAGCTTTTACATATTTGAATGGATTTATCCTGGGGTATATATATGTGTGTGTTGAATATATTATATACATTTATAATATATATCTGCTATATAATATATGCTATACATAATATATGATATATAAGATATCTTATGTAATATATCACATATAAGATATAAAATATATGATATATAAGATGTGATATATATGATATATCTTATATGTGATATGTGGCATATCAGGGTACATATCATATCTGATATGCCACATATATATCATACAATATATAATATATGTTGGCTATATTATATTATTTTATTACATTAATTTTACTATTATACATTATATGATATTATAATATATTACAATATTGTAATATATGATATAATATACAATATAGCTATTATATATAATATATAATATACATATTATTGTATTGTATATTATTGTATACAATATTATATATTATATATTATATCTAGCTATATTATATAATATAGCTATAATATATTTTAGGTATTATAATATATTATAGCTATTATTTAATATAGCTATATATTTAACATATATATTATATATAATTAATATATTATAGCTATTGTGAATGAAACTGATATTACAAGGTTTTTCCAGTTGTGTCATTGTTTATAGAAAGGTTGTTGATTTTTGAGTGTTGATTTTGTTCTGGCAACCATCTTGGGCATTCCAGTAATCTTAGTCTTTTGGTTTTGCTATGTAAAGGGTCATACCATCTGCAAACAGGGATAACTTGACTTCCTGCCTCCTATTCATAGCCCTTTGATTTCTTTTTCTTGTCTTATGGCTCTGGCTAAATGAGCTTCCATGGCGCTCTCTGCAAACAAATCAGAATCATTGTGGAGAAAGGATGTTCTCTTCAACAGAGTTGGGAAACTTGGAATGCCGTATGCAGAAGTATAAAATAAAACTCCTAACTTAGACCTCACGCACGAATCGACTCACGTGGATCAGGGATCTGAATCCAAACCTGAAGCTAATCATCAGGTTAGCAGAGGAAAATACAGGGGAAATACTGCGAGGCAATGGAATGGGTACAGACTTCTTGGATCAGACCCCAGAAGCACAGGCAATAAAGGCAAAAGACATAAATGGGATTATATCAAGCTAAGAAGTTTCTGTACAGCAAAAGAAACTGGTAGAATGGGAGAGCATGTTTGCAAACTAGCATCTGATAAAGGATTAATAGCCATTATATATATAAGGAGGTAAAGAAACTTAATAATCTAGTCCAGAAATGGGCTGAAAGATGTGAACAGGCATTTTTCAAAGGCAACAGACGCTTGAAAAGAAGCTCGAGAGCACTAGACACTCGGGCAACGGTGAAGAAAAGCCACAGAGAGGCCTTACCTCACCCTGGTTAGAACTGCTGGTCATTCCCAAATCAAAAAATAACACACTGGTGAGGATGTGGCAGGAATGTGAACTTGCACAACCATTATAGAGGACAATTTGGAGATTTTTCAGATCTGAAAGTGGATCTATTATATGACCCAGTTATTCCATTGCTGGGAATTTACCCAAAGGAAATGAAATAAGCCTATGGAAGAGTTACCTATAAGCCTGCGTTTATAGCAGCAAAACCACTACAGCTAAGGTGTTGAATCAACCCGGATGTCTCTCGACTGATGACTGGATAAAGAAAATGGAGCATTTTTAAAAAGCTGTGCCTGAGTTTAACCTTTTGGGTTTTTTGCATTAAAATGTGTTTAATTTCATTTTTTTCTTAGGGACTTTGAAGTAGGTACATAGATGTGACATTACTGCCAATTATTATATATTACCATTCCCTATATTCAGCTTTGTATTGGATAATAAAGTTGAACATAAGCACATACACTTCTAAATCCTTTTTAAAGTCTTTGAGAAATTAATCAGAACAATTACATGTACACCAAAGGTATGTGTAGATTTGGTTTGCTGCTTTATTATAAGTACTAATTCTTGCAAATGCTAATTCCCCTCATCCTTTATTCCTAGGAATCATTAGTGGATATTTGAAAGGGCTAGTAGGAGTTATGCCATTGTAGAGCTTTTACCGAATATACAAATGTTCATGTCAGAGTGTTTTGTTAGTCATATACTGATACGAACTCCTATTAATTGCCTATGTGTGTGTGTCTCCATTATTCTATGTCCAGATGTGTGTTAGTACCCACGTAGCAGAAAACTGGGTTGTGTGTATGAACAGTGAAGAATCAGTTATTAGTGCCGTGGACTGGGTTGATAATAATTGAAAAATCATTAAAACGTGTAAGTGTGAGATATACTTAGCATGCACAAACACTTGGTACTTGTTTTTGGTTGGTTTTTAGGGTTTCCTTGTAAGTGGGTACTTGTTGGTTGTTTCATTGTCCTGCTGGAGATGATTCCCTTTAACCACTGGGAATTCTTAATGACACATTTGGCAAAGATTTCTAAGGAAAAGAAAATTTGCTTTAAAGAATAAAAAATCCTGCAGTGAAAATTACACTGTCTCCAGGAACATGGGAAGCCCAGAATCATCCAGAACATTCTTATTCAAACATGAAATTTCTCCTCTGTGCTGTTTCAAGAGAATAGATTGTCCCCACAGAGAGGCTTTCAAATTATGTAACCACAGTTCTTGAGAAAATTGGTGTGGTGGTCACAGCACCATCTGTGACTCATTGCTTGCACTCAAGAGCTTAGGTGTGCAGGATCATAGAAGGTGCCCTGTTAATGATGTCTCCATGGGAATGCCCAGGCATGAAAGAATTGGCGTGATTCATCCAGTTGCCAAATCGTCCTCTGCGCCATTAACCATCCAGTTTCTTAGATTTGATATCCTGTTGAAATCTTCTCATGGACATCCAGATGCTGTGTTCTGTTTTAAAGTGTAAACACACCATTAACACAAAACACTCCCCTCCCTCGATCTTTAAGGAGCGCTGCCACATTTCTGGGGATTGACATCTGATAGAACCATAAAACCCAAAGAACATAATAGGAACTTCCCTTCGTTTGCCCAGGACCTGCACGCCTTACAATGAGTAGGATCTGTGTTTTGTACCAAGTGCCCACACACTGGCTGTCAGTTGCTGAGCTAACCAGAACTCAAGAGCGTGAGCATCTTGTGACCGGTGTTGGGGTTGGTG